ATCCGGACGTTTTCTTACCAAACCGTTCCAGATCTGAGAGCAGACCCATCAATTATAATGGTCATTTTCTGAAAAACAAATCATTATGTAGGGTGTCATCAAGAATCGTCCACTAAATTGTCATTTTTAATCAAAACCTTAACACTAGCCAACATAGTGTATTAAAAATAATGATCACTTTTAATACACAATGTTGGTTTTTATACTAATTACTATTAAAATGACAATTTAGTGGACCATTCTTGATAATGCACTATATGATAGACCTTTTTCGGATGGATCATTTTTTAAATTTTGCCATTTTAAACTTGTACCGGAGAACAATTTTTTCTATATTGTAATCTATTTCCTACCTTGAATGCACTTTTTGCCATTATAACCTTTCGTTATGAGTTTCAATTGTTGATATGTTGAAAAAATATGATTAGATGTGTGTCTATTTTATTTGCTACTATAGCAAGACTTGAAGATGAGACACAAACACTGTATTAATTATTCATCAACTATGCATTAAAATACATAAAAGCATAATATTTTATTGTGTAAGTGTATATTTTTGTTAAAAAAAAAATGACTCGCCAAAATGCTGCATTATATTAAATTAAATGTCATAGTTTAAAAATACATAAAAGCATAATATTTTATTGTGTAAGTCTGTTTAATTATAAAAAGCATGCCAGCTGTTAAAAAAAATGACAAAGTCCGACTCGACAAAATGCTGTATTATATTAAATTAAATGTCATAGTTTAAAAATATATAACAGCATAATATTTTATTGTCCAAGTCTATATTTGTGTTAAAAAATATGACTCGCCAAAATGCTGTATTATATTAAATACATAACAGCATAATATTTTATTGTCTAAGTCTATATTTTTGTTAAAAAAAATATGACAAAGTTAGACTCGCCAAAATGCTGATCCTAACTCATAATTTTTGTTTTGTAATTTTCTATTGGTAGGCTAGGAGGGTACTTGAATGTATGAATGTTTTGAAAGTGACATCTTCTGCCTACAATAGTACAATTGCATTCAAAGATAAAGTAATATGGCTGATCATTTAGGCTATGTTTGGTAAAACTAGCTGATAAGCTAGCTGATAGCTGATAAGCTAGCTTATAGCTTATATGTAATTTTTGAGCTTATAGCGTATAGCTTATGACTTATAGCTGAAAAGCTAGCTTATATGATAAAAGTGTTTGGTAAAATTAGCTGATAAGCTAGTTGGAATAAAAAATTCAACTAGCTTATTTGAAAAGCTACCTAAACAAGCTTATCAAATAAGCTCGAGCTTTTTAAATAAGCTCGTCCTACCAAACGAGACTTATTTGAATACAGGAAGCTTATAAGCTAACCAAATAAGCTATAAGCTAGCTTATTTGGTTTACCAAACATAGCCTTAGCTGTCAGACATTCGGTTCGTCTGGTTATTTTAAATTGTATAATACGTCAAATGGGGTTAAATTTGGTTGGAGCATGATTTAGCGGGGATTGCTTATCCTCGTAGTGAAGTCTTGTACTTTCAA